GGGTTTTGGCTCAGCGGTAGAGTGCTTACCTAGCATGTGTGAGGCCCCAGGTTTGATCCTCAGCAGCATGTAAAAATAAACAAATMAAATAAAGGTATTGTGTCCAACCACAATTAAAACAATTTTTTTAAAAGAATACCCAAAGAAGAAAAATTATATTGATAATAGGAAAAATATAATTTAACTTTAACAATTGAGATGATTAATTTTTGTAAATTTATTAGAACTATTATGGAGCCATTAAAATACTTGTGAGGCTAAAGTAGGAATATGATAGTTTCCCCTCTAATATTAAAGTAAAATGCAATATTTTGTTATTAGAACTACATGTAAATACATATGTGCATTAATAAAGTCTCAACAGAAATGCAAAAATTAATATGTATATTGGAATAAAAAGATTATTTATGATTCTATTTTTTTAATCTTTATTTCATTTATTTGTTTTTATGTGGTGCTGAGGATTGAACCCAGTGCCTCACATGTGCTTGGCAAGTTCTCTACCACTGAGCCCCAGCCCCTTACACTAATTTTAGAACATTTCAAGCTCTGATAAATATTTCTACTTCATATGCATAACGAGACTTGAATTTAAAAAAATGAATTAAAAGCAATCCTTGAATTAAAAAAAAATTTTTTTTAGTGAGCAAAGTTCTCAAGTTGGTGATCCTCAGGTAAACTCTAACCCGCAGATATTGTACCAGCTGTTTATTGCCACAAAAATGCTGCCTAAGAAGCCACACCAAAGGCTAGATTAAAACAATAGCCATGTATTATTTCTTTGGAACGTATGCATTAGTAAAGCATCTCTTCTGGGATTATTTTCTGAGCCATTTGTGAGCTAGGTAGGTAGRTTTATTCATTTTAGCTGGACTCTCACATTTTGGGGGACCAACTGGCTATCCTCAAATCTAGAAAGGTACTGGCTCTTTTCCATTGTCTTTATTTTTTGTGGAGGGGTACTGGGGATTGAACTTGGGGGTACTTGACCATTGAGCCACATCCCCAACCCTTTTTTGATTTTTTTTTTAACTGTTGTGATACCTGGCACCATGTTTTTTTTTTTTTTATTAGCTTCTCAATCATCATCTGAAAAGAAAACATTCTAGAGTAACATCATTAAAAAACAGCTTGAATTTTTTTAACTTAGAGACAGGATCTCATTGAGTTGTTTAGAACCTCACTTTTGCTGAGGCTGGCTTTGAACTCGTGATCCTCCTGCCTTAGCCTCTTGACTCACTGGGATTATAAGCATGGACTACTGCAGCCTGTCTTGTTTTCTTTTTTTTTTTTTTAAATTTGTTCTTTTTTGTCATATATGACAGTAGAATGTTTTTGACATATCAATGTATTTTGACATCATACATACAAGGAGGATAACTTCCCTTTCTTGTGGTTGTATATGATATGGAGTTA